CATCACTATCACTGGATGATTTATTACCACATTTGTTCACTATATCTATAATTTCCTTTTCAACAATTGGCTTAAGAAACATAGAACTCATATTCCTTTCAATTGTATTGTTATTTGTATTGACGTCTGTACAAATGGTACTTGCTAAGCCAGGACCCACATTCACAAAAAACCTATTAAACTTCTCAACTACATCCTCAAATCTGTTGACCGATGTATCATTGTCCATAAAATATGGGGGGTAATTACTCCTGCTGGTACTGTTTCTAATCAATTTATTTAATATCTTCCAAGTACCTTTCATATTATTTTTATAAATTTCATGAATTTGGAGTTGGGGATCAGATCATTTTTCAAATCACAAAACAAAAGTCCAAAGTTTTAGTTCAATTTTACAATAAAAATTGTGCTCAATTGTTAAATTCACCTAACAAGTAGTGTTTGTTCTTAAACCAAGTAGTTTGTGAGCCTAAATGTAATGAAACTACCTATTTCAATGGGGGGAGGGGGGCTAGTTAGCTATGATCCATTACACCGCTAATTACAGTCATTACAGGCAGCTCTGGTGTAACTTCAACTTAAGCCCTTCTTTATTTTGCACTGATGTTCAGTTCTCATGGATTTCACAGGAGCTCAAAGACAAATGGGTCATCCTATGCTTCACTGGACACAGCTCCATTATCAGCCAGACTCAGCTGACACTAACTCAGTCAACACCAAAAGTGTTGTGAGCTGCACCTGCTCTTCCTTGCACCGGCTGTCCTTTCTCTTGTCTTTCAGCCTTAAATCTCAGCCGTTACTATTATTTTTGGGTGCACTAAATTTTATCTATGTCCCAGATGAGGTGGTAGATTTGCAAGTGATGGTCTGTACTGTCGTCTTTACAGTGTCTCTTTCTTTCCATCTGTCTTTGCTTTTCTGGACCCTTTTTTCATCATCATCATTTAACCTCCAATACATTCACATCCTGGAGACTTAAAAGTTCCACTCCAGAAACATTTTAATATTTATATTTGCATATAAAATACTCCTGCTATAAACTATATAGTCTAACACAGTTTTTCCTCAAAGTTCAGTGAACCTCTGTAATAGGCCTCAACATTTGCCCCTCATTGTGCATTCCAGGATCTATGAATATTCAAATATATGCAAATGAAGCCACAGCCACCCCAAACACTGACTCTTATCACTCAAAAGTTAGCTCTCATTGATCCCAGATCAGAGGTTTCAGATTATGGATTTCACAAATTTGGTTTGCCCATGGACGTTTGAAATCAGGATTTCTAGGAAGTGGACTGGCACTGCCCCCCTTCAGCAGAATAGTGTGAAAACACCCAATTAGTGACAAACTGTGCACATACACCTGTCGGTCCAGGAGACGCCTGACATTTTAGGGCATTTAAACTTAAAAAAAAAATCCATGTTTTTCAGTTTAGGGGTTTTTTAAATATGAAGATGGACTTTCATAAGCTATTAAAAATGAGGAAATCTCCTTTTTGTTTATGCAGCAAGCACACATGACATCAGAGGGTCAGAGAAGCTCAGTGTTTACTGGACACTTACCATACCAATCAGATGAGAGAATGTTGATAATAAAGAAAAGAAAGAAATGGGTGCTGCTGCACATTGTGCAAGCCAAGTCCCAGTTACATAACAGCCGACAGACCTCTGCACAAGAAAGTGTAAAGTTAAAGGAGCCTTTGTTTTGCCTCTGATTTGTTTGCTCCACAAACCTATTCTCTGCCCATTTATTCAGTTTCTTCAGTCCCTCATATCTCACTTGCATTCTTAAAGGCTGTGTGAACTCTTGTACTAATGAATTTTATTATCCTATGCTGGCAATAAGACCTATTGTAACTGTCAAGGTTTGGTTAAGACTGCTAAATTAATTCAAGCCTATCAATCATTGAAATGAATATCAGCATAGCCTTTCTGAAGAATTTATTCCAAATGCCAACCATCCCAGAGCACTATACAGTCTGTAAGAACTCTTATAATTTGAAAGTGTAATGTTTTAATTGCAAAAATATGACATGAGCTGCCACATTAGGTTTTTCTGCCACACACTTTTCTATTATGTAAGAAAAAAGAGAAAGGTGACTGACAGGTAAAAGTTGCTAAAATACTGTGAAGAAACAAAATGGAGAAGTTATAAAACCTATTCAACTACTGTCATTAATACCCATCAACCTACCTTCTAACCTTCTAATAAAGGCATTCAGATTTGTATTGTCTGTCCTCTCCACAGCATGTAAAGCGACGGCTCTTTACATGTGAAATTTAAAACTTGAAGACACCTCCCCACATTGAAAGCCTCTTCTTTAAGTGATAATCATGCTCCTCTTTCAGGCCTATGAGCGCCGGTTCCCCACCTGTCAACTAATCCCCATGTTTGTGGCGAGTGACGTGATGGATGAGGAGATCAGTGAAGATGGATCCACCCACAGGATTGAGCGCCGCTGTGCCCTGGATGTGGATGCCCCACGGCTGCTCAAAAGGGTATGTTGAACAGCAGATCTTCAGTTAATGTGCCTCACAAGTGTAATGATGTTTGAGAGTATCGCATTTTCATTTGTTTCCAACTTTTTTTTAATATAAGCTAGATAATAATTATGAGTATCTTAGTTTTTACATAGCATATTAAATCTGTGCTTACAGTTGGCGTCTCGTGTCAGTGGAGATGCTGGTGACGTCAGTTGTTGTGTGTGGTTTGCAGATTGC